GAAAATATGTTTTATTTGAGAAAGCCCATTAATTGCAATTAATTGCATTAATCAGGGGCGGATTTAGGGATTCGACCCCCTGCCGACCCAAAGGGTCCCCATTTGTACTATTTTCCAATATACATTTTTGGTGATAGACCCTAAGAACTGTCTAAAGACGCCTTTGGCGCCAATATGTACTAATTTTGAGGGGAGAGCGCGCGCTGAAAAAACGCAAATTCCAAAAAGTGCCTAAAAACGCCTTTTTTGGCCTGCATTTTCCAAATTTCGCCTGCGGCGCAGAAACTTTGGCCAAAATAGGGACAAAACAGTGCTTTGGGAGAGCTCGAAAAATCAATTTGGTCGACCAAAAAAAAGTTCGACTAAATTTTCGAAAATTTTTGAAAATCCCCCTTGAAAATCCGTCCCTGGCATTAACTGATTGATAGAAAGCCCCCATTACAACTAATTGATTTTCTTGAAAAGAACTCAACAAACTAATTTCAATTAATTTTTGAACATCCCTGTTTCCAATGCTATGAACAAAATTGGATATTGTGCGATAGCTTAGGTTATTCATGGTGCAAGAGCAAATGGTTTTGGAACTATTATTTACCCTGCATGACAAATTTTATAGTAAACAAGTTGTTTACATATTATTTATTTGAAAAAACTTTCAGAGCACTAAGATGCCATTTTCCGTTTTTTTTCAAGGCTCGTGTTGGTCTATATAATATTTTGGGAGAGCTGGAGAAATCTTTTTTGAAAGACCTAAAAAGGTCGTTGAAATTTGAAAATGCTTTTTTGACAATAGCATCCCCCAATTGAGAAAATTTTAGACCCGTCCTTGGTTTTTGTGGTAATTTAGCAACAAATACTTGATAGAATCTCTCACGTTGACGCATCTTTTGGATCTTTTTACTAATTCCGCCCAAATTTCTTAATTTTGCCATTTAGTAATGTTCAATGTAAAAATACTTAAAAACACTGATAGCACTGGTTGATTTGCATAATACAAATTCGTTACTAATCTTAAGCCGACTTCAAACAAGGGCGAATTTGGAGCCGATACAATGGTGGTCATTTTTTCCCTGGAGTTGTTTTATTTCTAATCTGGGCAAGACTATAGGGCGTATTTGAAACAATTTTGAGTAGTTGAATCAAATTAACATCCTCCTCCCTTATCTCTCCCCCTCCCCCCCCCCCCCTCCCAAACTCCCTCCCTCCCTCCCTCCATCCATCCATCCATCCATCCATCCATCCATCCATCCATCCATCCATCCATCCATCCATCCATCCATCCATCGATCCATCCATCCATCCATCCATCCATCCATCCATCCATCCCTCCCTCCCTCCCTCCCTCCCCAAATAGACCAAGTTATGGTCCTCCACCCCAGCGTTCATTTTAATTTATATCTACTTAGCGCTGCATGTAAAATGCTCTATTCTGATTTGCTGAAAATTCGAACTCACAACCAAGTTAACATCTCCTCCTTCCCATACGGATTGGGGGGATATTAACTTGGTCTGCGTAGTTTACCAAACATTCTTCATTAAAGGCCATTTCGGCTTATTTATTATTTGATTTAAAATTGTGAACAAAACATTTTGAGATGGTACTATTATTTGATTGAGTTACTCAAGCCAATCAGATAAAAGCAAAATAGTTTCAGCTCAAGATAATGAAATACTGTTTTTTGGACGGAATACGTAAAAAGACCTCATATTTTAACTAAACGTATCGAAAAATGAACAAGGATAGCCGGTTAGTGCAAGTTGCCCAGAATATTCCGACCATAGTCTAGAAAAATACAATTTTTTAAAAAAAATTAGTTGTGTTTTTTTCTGCCCGGTGTGATAAAAGGATCTGAATTAAAAAACTAAAACAAAGAAATCTTTGAGAGTCATAGTTAAATAAGCAAAATTGGACAACAGTTCTGAAAATTTAGACTTGGTAATTTTAAGTAAATTCGACTAATAGCAAATTCGCTGTGTATTTGACAAAATCACCTTGCGTTTATAGAGGTTTAGAATTGTACGCTACGATAGTTTAATGATCCAGTTGAAAACTGTTATCCGCAGGTGAACGAACTTGGAAAATCAATATTTTGAGAAAAATCAGGTTTTAACCTCTTTATCGATACTTTCCGAAAAACCGGCATTTAGGTCTTGATGTACAAGTAACAACAGCTTCTCCCTCTCCAATGATATTTATAGCTTTCATAGAGCACGAGCATGAAATCGGCTCACTAGGAGATGCCAACTTATTGAGATCTCGGTAAATCCACCTGTTGCCCATGGATTAAGAAAGGCTAAAAAAATTCTAGACACAGCTAGAGGAACTCAAAAATTTTAAAGCCGGTCATCTTAATGGTTCTATTTAGGAACACATACAACCTTAGTAGACTAGGCGATAAAAACTTCCAGGTATTCAGCGCTAACAAATACCTTAAGAAAATAGTCCTCAACCCGGACTTTCGGAAGTCGTTTATCGGCTCCCGCTGAACACAGAGGGTCAAACTTTTTGGATATGATAGATAATGGCAAGATAATCGTATGCCAAGAACTGAACCTGACGATTGGATTGGAAGTTATTAGTGTTTGAGAAGAATACCCCTGAGACCAGAAGCGGGCAATTGACGCAAAATAATGAGCGAGTGCATATTGAATTTAAGGCGGCAAAAGACAAAAGAAGCCTACCCCTAAAAGAAAGTAAAGTGACCCAAACCCCTCCGACGACCCCTTCCGGTGTTAAAAGCCATCCCACAGGATTAGTGACAACGGACTAAAAAAATGGGACAAATTGGGTAGTAATGGAATATGAACTAAACTTGGTGCGTAGGATCCCTATGGGTTTATGAACTCGCATTTGGAAGATTAACCCCGGGTGACCTATAAATGAACTTAAAGCGTTTATGACCAAAATTGCAAAAAAAAACCCGAGATTAACACCGGAAAATGGCGTAATTCCCAGCCCCAACCCTTTAAAATCGGAAACGGTGACCTTACTAATTAGAGGTTAGCCTGACTATTGGGAAATCAATCAGAACGTAAAGGGATTTAGCTTTTATATTGCGTTCAAGTAGTCTATTGAGTTTAAGTGAAAGTAGGTAAACATTGGGTTGAGCGTTGCTACGATGGCTGAGCTATTATAAGAAAGACAATTAGACCAAAGCAAACAGTCCCAGAAAAAATGGGTATTAAGTGAGTGAGTGTGTCAAGGAAATAACTGCTCATAAACAGTATGATTGTACGGAATATTCATTTAGCTCCCTAGGTAGATTTTTGGTGCAATTAGACCCGTAGCGCTCGCTACCGAATGAAATACGCTCTTCAAAAAGCTGGAGGTTAGGGACTGAAAAAGAGTATGGGTGGGAATTTTAGAAGCTTGAAATGCTGGAAATGACCGACCTTTAGACCTAGGAGCGCGGAGCGCTAATGTGATAATTAAATTAAATCCTTGGGAAGTTGTTTAAGTAAACATTACTTTAGGTTTAGAGGTGAAATCGGACATGCCATTTGTACAACGTAGTAAGGGATATCTATGGTGAACTTAGCATTCATAACTAGCGCCGCCAGGGACAAACTCTCAATAGATTCTTTGGAGAAACAGTATGTAGTTGTTTCTCATAGTTAGGCAGAGAAAACTTGCGCTGTGAGAGCGAAGGGTTAGTTCTCATAGTTAGTTAGAGAATAACTTGCCACTTGTGAGGGTAGTTTTTCTCCCAAGCAAACGTGAATACGTTGAGTTAGTGAATTCTCAAGAGTGAGAGATAGTGAGGTAAAAAAATAGCTAGTGTTAACGGGAATTTCAATTGCAACCTGGCAATTGTGTTGACTGATCGCGTACCTTTTCCTTTTGATTCGATTACTAAGTTATAATATGGCCACTTTGCAGCCCTCTGTATCTGGATTTATATTCATCTGATCCAACTTAACCCTTTCGGGATTGTGAGTGGTACTGAATCTCGGTCAACCCGCTGAATTTAGTACCCAAGGAACTACTTTGCGGTGTCATTAAGAGAGCGAAAAAAATATAGCAAGAGAACAAACCTAAGGAAGCAATTCCTCAAAACTATATAAAAAATGACTTAAAACAAAAAAAAACAACATGCAACAACTTTTTGAGTTTTTGAAACTTTTAACTCCCAAATGGCGCTAAACACAATCTTCATTTGATTAAAACTAAGTTTTCACGGCCTACCGTAAGCAACAGGAAGCTATTTTTTGGAAAGTTTTAACGTCGTTCGAATTGCAAATGAAAAGACTTTATGATACATAACTCAACCCGTTCCCATGATTATTTGTGGTACCTGATTTTGCGTTGAAAACAACACATAGCCAAAAAATTAGATGGCCTTAAGCTCTTTGAACTTGTAGAACAATATATGTTTTTTGGTTAAAATTAACCCAATTTGAGAAAACTGGATCAATAGATAAAACTTTTATTTCGCTGCGAAATCTGATAATTAATTTCCGTTTTCGAAATCAGAAGTCAATCACGTTTTTCGTGGCCTTCACAATTTTGCTGTTCGATAGAGGAGCTCGCCCTCCTTTTAACAATAGAATAGCACTGAGCTTTAAGAGAAATCACAAACCGTGAAAACTGAAATTGAGCGGGAACAAATTTTAAGACCTTTTCCTGAAAAAAAATCAGCAAGTTCTATATAAGAGTACTCGCTACGTTCATTACTCTTAAAAAGAAAGAAGAACTAAAACACCCGAATACAAAGTTTCTCCCCATTTTTCAAGTGGTCGGAACAAAAATTATACGTAATGAAATGCATACGTAACGGTACGCCACCCCCTTTGCTAATATGTGGTCATAAAATCACTTTTTATCAAAACTTTGCCCGAATCTCAGAAAGTTTTGCCAAATATGGTCGTTATGGGGTCTCAGCAGAGCTCAAAAACTTGAATCGCCGACAAAAGTTTCCATCTATATTCCAGCTCTCGTCGACACTAACTTGGTTCAGCAGACTAATCTAAATGATGATAAATTGCGGGCTGCGTGATACCTGAGCGTCCTGTAGGTTGGGGTCTGCTCCGTGTTGCACTAGGAGTGAGATGCAGTTGTTGAATCCCTTCTGGGCCGCATACTGCAGTGGAGTCCTGCCGAGGTGGTCGCTGCAGTTCACATCCACACTCTGCTGCTGGCCCACCACCAACAGCTCACACATGCGCAGCGAGCCACCATAGCAAGCCCTTAATAGTATAGATATGCTTTCTTCAATGGCATGCCCCTGATCAAGTTTACATCTTCCCCTCTAAATAGATTAAGTTAAGAGCCTCGACGTCGACACCTTTATTTAATTTGGATTACATACAACTGCTTAGTACTGCGAGAAAAAACTCAATTCTGATTGGCTGAAAATTCCAAATTGGAGCCAACTTCTAACCAATCACCTAGAACGCTTTAGGGTGAGGATGTTAGCTTGATCCCATGTTACTTGCAATAACTATTACAATTGTAGTCTGCACGGCAACATCCCTACAGCCAAAGAGACAGTGGTTTATTTGTCAAAGAAGCAATTGCCAATTGGCTGCATCTGAAGTTGTTATAATAACAGGTCGTGTCTGGCCTTGGCGTTTAAACATTCCGTTGGAACAGATACGTTCATTTTTTGATGTTTTACTTTTAACTGTTTCATTTATTTGCTTATTTATATGTTTTAGTAATTTAATTAGTTTTAGTTGTAACAAAGGAACAATTCATCGTAGAGCACCCAAAGAGTAACGGCTCATCAAACGTGAGAATCACAGAGTTGATCTACCAATGCCATGGAAAGACTGAAGTACTGTATTCCGTTAAGCTATTATTGCGAATTTAAAAAAAATCGGTAAACTTAGTAATCCAGAAGAACGATACTACCCTCAAATACCAAAAAAAAGACGATGGAAAAAAGAAGAAAATCTACCGAAAAGATGGAATACAATTCCACAAAAACCGAGACGAAACGATTCAATGCAATGAGAAGGGAGGCAGCCGACAAGAAACTCCAGTCAATGCTGTACTTCATTCTTTGTTATGAAAGCATACGTATCTTCAGCCAAAAATTGCCAAAATAAAAGTGCTCAAAACTCCGCTTGAAAGTTTCTGAATACACCTTGCAACCACCATTGTCAGAAATACAATTATCACGTTTGAAAGACAAAAACTCCTATAAAGAAAACAGAGGCATAGAAAATGAGCAGTTCCGGGGAGCTTTGGTCAAAATGGCCGAGTAATGTGATATATCCGCTGACAAGAAGAAGGGATAAACGACAAATTCATAAAAATTTTGCTTAACTGCGACATCGAATGTAATCTTTTAACAGGAATACTACCTCCGGTGAAATCCTTAAATGTGGCATCCATAGATCCAAAAACATCACCAATCATCAAGATGACAAAAACGTTTCTTTACTTTTGAATCTAGTGGATCCTCTGTAAATATTAAACAATTTACCGAGCCGAAGCTTCGCTTCGCAAACAATAGCGAGAAAACGACGAAAACGCAAATCTATTTTACTAATTCGAGAAACTAGTCTCGAATTAGTAAAAATTTTGCTATTTGTCGGTTTTGAACCGGTGGCCTCCAGACTGGGAGTCTCAAGCCCTTCCCTTTCATAGGCAGCCGCTTAACAATAGTCAACACAGAGTCGAAGCTGCGCTCCGCAAACACTAGCAAGAACACGACGAAACGCAGCCCATGCCTGGGGAAACGAACATTATAATTAGCCTAATAATCCAAGTAAAATTCCACAAATTTTATCAAAAAAATTCGAACCCAGAATACTTTTATGTAAACGAACTTAAAAATTTACCAAAAAATCAAGTTTTAACACAGAGGCGAAGCTGGGCTTCACAAACACTTGCAAAAAAACGACAAAAAAGCAGCTTTATGAAGTGAAACAAGAAAAAATAGAAACATGCCTCGATTAAATAAAACTTTGCTACGTATCTGATTCGAACCTGCAGCATCGAGATTTGGAGTTTCACGCCCTGCCGCCTCGGCTATGAGCACTTAACAACCCACAAACACAAGCCACGAATAAAGCAGCTACATATGCTAATAAATTGCCAATGCTATGCAGTAAATAGGCAACAAATACAAATAGACACAATTTGGCATGTTTAAGATTGTAATATAACAAACTGAATGCATCCACGCTAACTTTGCAATATAATATAATAAATATTTGGAACTAATATTTGCGACTTACGTTAGAAAAAAAGAATAGTCGTTCCATTAACACTACCCCACTAAAGATCGCGGGTGTAATTATAAGAATGGGATATACTTCACAACTGTTCTGCTTTCTGAGGTATCCCTTGGCAGATTTCGTTTGAAATCTTAAGGTTTCCCTCTCAAACCTACACTAATCGAAATTTTCTGAAAATGGTGTATATAATTGGTTTGAAAACAATTCATCATGATTATTATTAATAATCTGGTACCATAAAAATTACACTAGTAAGAGATTAATGGATGTTATTGAACAAAAAGTAAGATCATAAAATTTACGAGGTGCCTGGGTAACCATAGGTCAACTGACTGTACTTCTGCAAGAAGTTGTATCATAGACAATTGCGGGGAAAAACATCACTCTAATTTACACAGGAATCAGGATAAAACTGCGCAGCGGCATACTCAGAAATCCAACAATATCAATTTGGAAAACCAAGTGAATGCGAAATCCGGTTTGAAAAACCAACTTCAATTTATGCCCATAACTTTATTCAACAACAACAAAGCGGTTCCTTGCTAAATAAAATTCTTGACAAGTGCAGTAGCTGTTCTTACGTCCTGAAATGCACAGCTGATACCTTACAGTGTAAGACCAGTCGAACAGTTGAATTAAGCATTCGTGGTGCTTTCAGTGAGGACACTGTTTCGTCAAATCTGGTTCAATTACACATTGGGCCTTTCAACTCTACTTCTGCTACGTTTATCTAAAAACAGTCTACTCGGTGGAAACGTTCAACTTCGATTTGATAGATGTCGCAAGACTGAACAACATAAGTTCCCGGTATGACCATCTACGACACATAGCGTTTCCTAATTCCGTCGACAATTCGGTACACATTCTACTCGGCGTCCACGCTTTCTGGCATATCGCAGAGAGGGAACATTTGAAGGGCCCTAACGACAGTCCGTATGGAGTGAGCAACTTACTGGGATGGACGATAACTGACCCGCTTCACCAAAAGTCTTAAGATGAGTAGTGCAACTATCATCTAACCAAATTCAAAGACATATAGCAACACGAGGACGCTTCCTTAAATGAAATTGTTGAAAAATTTTAGAAACTCGAAGAATCCTGCACAACTTCGAACGTAACTAAAGGACCATTTTCAAGCAAACATACTAAGCGATTAGAAAATTATGAAACAAAGCATTCAACATGACGGAACTCGCACCGATTCAATTTGCTTTGGAAGAACAACATAACGATGACAAACAACTACGTTGTTGCTAAAACTCTTCTCTACAAGCAATCACAACAAGCTACTTTCCCTGACACTATTAAACATTTAACTAATAATGAAGCCTTGGACAACAAAGATGCTTTACTGCCATACTCATCACTTATGGATGATAATCTTATTCCTGCGCAAGGACGACTGAGACATTCACGAATGCCAGGTGCAACTAAGTACCCCATTGTTCTGCATGTGAAGGAACCTTCAATTCAACTTATGATCAAAAAAGCGTATCATAAATGCATGCACCTCGGCACCGAATTTGTACGACATTACTTGCAACAAAGCTTCATAATTTTGGGTCTAAGAAAAGCCTAGAGACACATTCGCCGCCACTGTTTTTTGTGCCGCCGCTTTCAAGGGTGATCTACCTGGACAGCGCTTCGATGAACCGGAAACTAATCCATATCCCTTCAAGAACGTTGGACTTGACTACATCGGTCCATTCTATGTTGGTGAAAAAGATATAACAGAAAAAACTACATTTGTCTCTTCATTTGTTTAACAACGCGTGCAATCCATCTGGAAACTACCGATAATTTAACAACTGAAAATTGCTTTACAGCAAATCGTAGATCCATGGCGCGACTTGGGTCTCCTAAACTTTTTCTTTCGGATAACGCAGCACACTTTGTCGCCGCACGTTAACAAATCATGAAACAACCTTTAAATATCAACGAAGACGAAATTGCAGACAAGCTTCAGCTGAAGTCAGTCGACTGGCGTCTTAACCCACCATCTGCTCCTCATTTTGGTGGGGTGTGGGAACGTCTTGTTTTGATCATCAAACGAGTCTTTCTATTGAATCTAGGATCGGACAGACTTTCCAGGGATCTTTTTTCAACTATTGTAGTAGAATGCGAAGGCCTCATCAACTCAAGACCACTGATCCATGTAAGTTGCACCATAATGACATATTACCAATTACTCACTTCCTACTTGGGAGCCCATTCATTTATGCTCCCGCAGCTTCATTCTGCGACCAATCAAATTCCAACAAATTAAGCAGCAAATCCTGGAAGCTAACCAAGGACCGACTAGACAGCTTCTGGAAGCGATTAAAGAAAGAATACGCTCCAACACTGATCAAACGAACCAAGTGGAACCAAAAAGAGTAAAACATAGAAAAACAGGACCTCGTATGGATTCTCGAAGTCTTTACTCCACGAGGCATATGGCTCCTGGGTAAGGTTGTTGAAACGTTTACCAGTCCTGTTGGCATTGCGCGCTCATGCGTAAGCAAAAACGCGTTAGGAACACTTATGGGGACCGCGGTGAAATTACTTTAGCTTTAGTAGAACCAAAACCAGATTTTTAGACCGCACTAGCAATTTTAATACGAAGCCCTAACCCCTCTGGTCTCGGTAACTATTGCCCCTCCCCGAGGATATTCATGATGTGAATAATCTTTAACGTGAATTACTGGAAAAAGCGGTGAAATCCAGTGCATAATTAATAAATTATTGGAGTGCTATTAAAATTTTGGATGATATAGCAATTGACTTCTGACAAGTTAACGAAGTTAATTCAAGACACATATGAACAGAGTCTTAAATAGATAATAAATATTTTCAAATTTTGAGACAATCAGTACTAATCTAATGATATTGTCAACTCTTTCGTTCTTATCATCTACCAATGCGGTCTTTATTTGAGAGGGCTAGAATATTTAATTGGAATTTAAAGAAAAATCTGGCTATTTTGTGCCGCTTATTACCAATGCAGAGGGTATCTGCCCTCCCTGTCTTGGTGTTTGAGTTTGGCCCCGTGTTTGATCAGCAGCTGGGCAATGGCCACGTGACCCAACTCAGCCGCCCTGGCTAGAGGAGTGAGCTTCATGTTGTCAGCTGTCATCTTACAGCCCACCTGAAACAGTATTCAGCTAATTGAAGGCATGGAAACCAAAATTGCGTGTATATGAAGAGAATTATTCATTCAATCATTTTTCAGAAGCCTTTTCACGTGACATTAACTCGGTGAACCAAAATTTTCGTGTCTCGATAAAACACAAGTGGCCCAGCTAAAGCTGGAGGTACGTTTTTGATATAAAATAATATTGCTATACTGATGCGTCACGAAAAATGTGATTTCAAAATTGGACTTTGCCCAAAAACGTATTTGTTTCTCTACTAAAATAAGTGAGAAGAGTAAAAAGTTTTGAGATAATCAATTTTCTCAAGAAGATAACTTTTCTCACATAAAAATTAAGGAATTGCCCTTTCAGCAGTAACCACTATCGCAACCGGTTCTTTCAATTAAAATTTTTATATCAGATTTGATTGTGTAAATTAAAAAAAAAACTCAAAAAGCTTCTAAAAAACGGTGAAAGATCCAAGAAACGGTCAAAAAGATTTCCAAAATCCATCACTTTTTCTGCAAAAATCAGGTTGAGGCCGCTTAAGAAGAGAAGATTCCTAAAAACCGGATTCCTAAAAACCGGATTTCTCGATTGAAGGCAACCTGAAAATTGGCACGGTAGTTTTCGCGTAATGTAAAAAAAGTTTCCAAAAAACTGTCAAAGTTTCAAAACTTCGACTTAGCGGAAGGTCATTACTGTTTTCTTAAAGGCTTTCAACAACATAATTTTTCGATTAAACCTTATGATATCAGATTTGGTGGAATAGTTAGCGAAAACGCTCACAAAATCAATACTTGGACTTTTCCCAGAGCCATAACTTTTGGAGTCAGAAAAGTTAAGTAATATTCGCAAAAGAAAATGAGCTTCGCACAACCTGTTCTTTCAACCGAACTAAAAATTAAATGCCATTTTCGAGACTTGAAGTCGATCACGTTTTTCGTGACCTTTTAACTTTTGCTGTTTGATAGTGCATTTTACCTTTCTTTTAACAAAGCAAATGAACTGATTTCAAAAAGAAATCGAAGTCTCGAAAAAAGTAAATTTGAGCCTGAACAAATTTTGAGACTCTTACAGAAAAAAATCATCACGACCTTTGTAAGAGTCTGAACTATGATTATCGGTTCTTAATTAGAGAAAACTGAGTCAATAGATAATTTTTTTATTCCCCTGAGAATTTTGAAAACTTACATTTCTTTACAAAACAAAACTTCAATCACGCTTTTTCCCGCAATTTCAACTTTCCTAATTGGAGAGCTTCAACTAACCTCCTTTTAGCGAATGAGTTTGAATTGAACTTAAGAACATGCACAAGTCGAACCAGGAAAGTTCAAACTCGAGTGTCAGGTGAACAAACAAAAACTTGACCTGAGTACGCCATAAGTCACTTCGTTTGCTCTTTCATTGACGGGTTGACCCATTTAGAATAATAAAGCTTTTTCAGTCAAAGTCGATCAAATTTTCTGAATATCGAAAAAAGTTGTTCTAAAATGTTTTGTTGTTTATTTAGAAGGAAGAGATCCGGGATAGATTATGAAATGCACGATTATTAATGTTTGAAATGAACTCTTGCATTGCTAAACTCTGTGCAGTCCCACTTCAATTCTGATCAGAGATACAATCAGAGTTAATTGTTGCAGTACAGTAACAGTAATGAATCATCGATGTAAGTCTTTTATTTTTTAAACAAGTCTAGCAAAAACAGCTCACTACCCAACTTCGAACCCTCATATCATAGTGTACATTAGAAAATGAAAAATCAAAGTTTTTTTCTCTAATACTGCACAGAAACATTGATGATAAAACTGTGATTGATCAGCGTTGCAGTATTGCAATATTATTTCAAGTTCCAAATCTATGAATATGCTTGCAGCTGTCTTTGATTGACCTATGTTATAGCTTTGTTCTTTTTAACAGAGTAATAAGACAAACTATGATGCTATCTTCCACCCCCTTTCAAAAACAACTTCAATGTTGCTACTCTGTAATGGAACTTTGCGAACACGTGTTTCTGGACGTGAGGCGACAATTATTAACAGGCGACAATTCGTAGCAGGCGCCAATTCATATTCATGATGTGAATTATCTTTCACGTGCATTACTTGAAAAAGCGGTAATTTCCAGTTCGTAATCACCGTTATCACCAGAATCGGATTGGCCTCAACTAAAACTAAAGGACGACACAATTATCAACCGCTTTTCACAACTGCAGACAAGGAGAGAACTACTGCACTAAAAGTCGACAGTACAATTCGCCATACCAACGCTATGGTGAAACAGGAAAACATTTCTACTAGCGCGAAAAGGGAACCAACCATTGATGTTTCGAGTTTTTCCGATTGACTTCGTCTAATCCGCGCTACTGCTCGTGTTGTACAGTTCAAGGACATTCTTCATCAAAAACGAAAACGCGATTTTAGAATAGACGACCGGGAGATGGCAAAAATTCTTTTATACGAGCAATCACAAGACACTATTTTCCCTGATACTTTTAAACGTTTAACTACCAACAAAGCATTGGACAAAAAAGATACTTTACTGGCATACTCACGATTCATGGATGGTAATCTTATTCGCGTGCGAGGACGACTGAGACATTCACCAATGCCAGATGCAACTAAACACTCTATTATTCTACATGCAAAGGAACGTTCGGTTCAACTTATGATCAAAAAGGCTCATCAAAAATGCATGCACCTTTGCACCGAAACTGTACGACACTGCCTGCAACAAAGCTTCATAATTTTGGGTCTCAGAAAAGCCTTGAGACACATTTGCCGCCACTGTTTCTTGTGCCGCCGCTTTCAGAGGTAAAGTTTAAGCCCTTTCATGGCTGATCTACCTGCACAGCGCTTCGATGACCCGGAAACGAATCCATATCCTTTCAAGAACGTTGGACATGACTACATCGGTCCAATCAATATTGGTGAAAAAGATACCACCGAAAAAAAACTACATTTGTTTCTTCACTTGTTTAACAACGCGCGCAATCCACCTGAAAACCACCGACAATCTGACAACTGAAAATTGCTTGATAGCAATTCGCAAATAAATGGCACGACGTGGTTCTCGTAAACTTATTCTTTCGGATAACGCAGCATACTTCGTCGCCGCACGTAGAAAAATCATGAAACAACTCTTAAAAATCAACGAAGATGAAATAGCAACCAAGCTTCAGCTGATGTCAATCGAATGGCGTCTTAACCCACCATCTGCTCCTCTTTTTAGTGGGTTGCGGGAACGTCTCGTTTCGATGATCGAACGAGTCTTTCTATTGAATTTAGGATCGGACAGACTTTCCAGGGATCTTTTCTCAACTATTGTAGTAGAATGCGAAGGACTCAACACAATTCAAGACCACTGACCCATGTAAGTTGGGACATTAATGACACATTACCACTTACACCTGACAACTTCCTAATCGGTAGGCTATTCATTTAGGCTACCGCAGCTTCATTCTACGACCAAACAAATACGAATAAACTAAGCAACCCTGAAAAAATACGCTCCAACCCTGATCAAACTAACCAAGTGGAACCAAAAAGAGGAAACAATAGAAAAACATGACATCTTGGATCCTCGAAAACTTTACTTCACGAGGCATTTGGCCCTTGGGTAAGGTTGTTGAAACGTTTACCGGTCCTGGTGGCATTGCGCGCTCAAGCGTAATCAAAACAGTGTTAGGAACACTTACTAGGCCCGCGGTGAAACTAGCTTTAGTAGAACCAAAACCGGATTTTTAGACCTCAAAAGCAATTTTAATACCAAGCCCTTACCCCTCTGGTCTCCGTAACAAATGCCCTCCTCGAGGATATTCATGATGTGAATAATCTTTCACATGCATTACTCGAAAAAGCCTTCTTACGAGCTGTCGCTTGCTATGAATTGTCGCCCTAACGTTTCTGGATACCTTTACAACATAATATTACGCATTTAGCCATAATAGCACAAAAAATTTAATCAATGAGTTAAGAAAAGCCATGAACAAAGAAAAAGGCCAGGAGTCTTGTGGCAATATCGTTGACTTAAACAGGAGCGGCAAATCAATTTAAGATGAGCCTGCTAAAGGAATTGCACCCGGTTCGCCGACCTTAATCAAGCCTTATAAAAACCTTTTTCGTTTGTTTATAGTTAATCTATCAAGGACACATAAACTGAATTGTTTAATGCACGTGCATTTGTTTCGAGGTGTCAATATATTTCTACATCTTTGAAACTCAGACTTATCTCTTATTTCAAACCTCAAAACAGATTTCAATTGAGATCTTTCTTCATCCCATTGGGTCATTACCATCCATTTATCTGCTCAAAAATTAGTCTACAGATATATCTGGATTATGGGAATAAACGCTACAGGCACGTGTCTTTTTTTTAAATTACCAGTTACCCAAAACTTCGAGAAACAACTAATTGTTGAAATAACTGATGCAGCTTTTGGCTCTTTTCCTGTTGTCCCCCCCCCCTTTTGATTTTTTTTCTGAAATCCCATTTACCAAAGCCTATTTGAAATGGCTTCGATGTTATTAACTGCCTTAAAATGTTTCAGCGTGAAAATTTTTTTTACAAAACTTCTCATGTCAAAACAATTTTCAAAACAATTTTGTGTTGTTGTTTTACGGAGGGGGGGATGGGAAAATGGAAAAGAGCCCATATTTCCATAACACCCCGACTACAAAATTGTATTTTATAAAATTTCTCAAAGAAGCCGACGATAAATGTTATCAATGTATTTATTTCTCTGTCCCCGTCAAAAGGCTTTTTTCCACTCCCACCTCTCCCATTTTTCAAATTTTCCAAATTCAAGCACGATGTTACCCGGGTCGAGGTGCTAGACTTATGTTTCGACTTTGAGTCGAGAAGGTGCAGTTTTGCGTCGACTGAAATTCCGCGGTCGAGCACAGTCGAAGCATGCCTGATTTTGGTCGAGAAAGTCAAAACATAGATCGAGCCTAACCTAAATTTTCAAAATTTTATTTTTTTTGAAGATTTCAATTGTTTTGAACTCGAAACGAGCAAAATAATCTGCTCAGAAAACACCTCCGTCAGAAAAAGTAAGCGAGTGTCGAGTTGGCCCAGCGGCAATCACACTGAATCTGTCCCTCACGGGCTTCGATCTCAGTATTACGTGTGAAGCGTGAAATGCTTTTGGCTCATGTCAGAAGCCACTGCGCCACGGCTCACCTGATTGTTGAGGGATTTCTTGTTGTTTTATAATAACTCCATTATTCCTTTAATCAATACCATCGTTTGGCAATGAAATTTTATTTCTATTGGTATGATAAAATGATGTCATACGAGTTCTATAAATAATGACATTACAACAGCGTGTCTTTCTTCAGCAATTACATTACAGTGAAACGAAATCCTTTGCATAGAGGTATAAAACAACAAGCAATCCCTCTACATATAAGCGAGCCGTGGCGCAGCGGCTTCTGACATGAGCCAAAAGCATTTCACGCTTCACACGTAAAACTGAGATCGAAGCCCGTGAGGGACAGATTCAGTGTGATTGCCGCTGGGCCAACTCGACACTCGCTTACTTTTTCTGACGGAGGTGTTTTCTGAGCAGATTATTTTGCTCGTTTCGAGCTTAAAACAATTGAAATATTCAAAAAAAATAAAATATTGAAAATTTAGGTTAGGCTCGATCTATGTTTTGAACTTCTCGACCAAAATCAGGCATTCTGGCTTTCTTCCCCCTCCCCCTCCCTCAACTACATGCTCTAAAAAGCAAGGGTTTTACAACCTTGGGTATGGAAAAATTGCCAAACCCCTTCCTCCAAATGAAGGCGTGGGCTTTTTCTGTGTTCAAAAAAATCAGCAAAGACTCTGGTCAAAATTAAATCGGCCAAAATATTTTTACTTCTTTGAATTATCTTTGAATGAATTTGGTTTTTGAGATCTGAAATCTTGAAAAGAGCCTTTCTCTTGCTCTGTCTCTGCTAGGCACTCTTGTCTATTGGGGTGTGGTGTTTGGCGTGAGTGCAGCCATAGTGTTCTACTTCAACAGTGACTACAACAGTGAAACACCACAGTCATCAGGACTGACCTCTCTCTTCTCGTCAGGACATGACGGCACTCCTTATGGGAGAATGAAGCAGTGGCTGGACGCTCTCCTTCAGGTATAATAATGAAACTTTTCGTTGGCTATATTAAGACGATTTCTCCTCAAGGGAGCTGTTCACCTACTTACGAAAAGCCAATGTTGCATACTTGCTTAAAAGTCACTTGCATTTCTTTGTAATTTGCCTTTTACTCAAGCAACTGGCTCGGATCATGGTGGGCCTCGAACCACAGACCTTTTAACTGAGAGGCGGAGACCATTACGCTAAGTGAAACGCAAAGTGCTGTTTCTTGTCTAATAACGCATTGATAAGACCAGGTGACTTGCCTCAATTGAATTTGGAGTGAATTCTGAGCCGCATAAATTCTCCGCTGACGCGTTCATAAAACTAAGTACATAGTGGAGAACGTAGCAGAGACACTTATATAGGTCGCGATGATTTGTTTTTGATTTATCGCGGTTTGGTTTTAAATTTTTTGGAAATTCAGTTCATTGCTTTTGTTTAAAAAAGGCTCTTCTCAACTTTCCCCCCGCATGTGAGTTTCACGTCTAAAAAAACTAATTTTACGTTTTCATAATGGTAATAACTTCATTATGGTGATAAAAATGGTAATAATTTTGCATGGTGAACAAACTAACTATTGCTTGTTCTTCATATCTTACTTCGTAACATCACGCTTTCAACCATAGTGACACGTAAGGCAATTAAAAAAATGGAAAATTTGAAATGTGGGGAGAAACTAAATGGAAAAGAGCCAAAAAACAAGCAACTTTTGTTTTAACCACCTCTCCTCTTTCCTCAGCGGAACAAAAAAATTTTCAAGGCTCCTAAAATTGCAAAACTAAGCTGTTCAAAAATTGTTCACACGTCTCTTTGCATGTATGAAATTTGTTCACCAGTTCACGCTGACACGTTTTGATGCAGTTTATAACAAGAAAAGTAATTTTAACTAGACTTTCATATATTGAATTTCAGAAAAATTCAAAAAGGGGTGGAAAAGAGCCATTTTCAGATTACCCAGCGCAACAAAAATTTTAACCTATTGATCCAGTTTTCTCAGATTGGGTTATTTCTACTAACTTCACCAAGTAAACTCGAAAACCATTTTGAAAATCAAAGAGCTTGGGCCATATACTTATTTCTTTAAACTTTAAGAAATGAGATTTCTTTTAAAACAAGTCAGTATAAGTTTTTCCTGTTTTCTGGCGTTTCTTCACTTTTTTTCAGCTATGCGTTTCTTCACTTTTTTCTTTACTGATTGTCGGCTATGAATTAATTTTCGAGTTTCGCTCTTTTTTTTGTTCATTATAAATTACAGTTAGACCCAATTTAGTAAGAACTCCAGAGGGCCTAGCTTCGATATTTAGCTTTCCAACGAATTTTTTGCCGAAAGTTTCAATGTGCTCCTGCTTTTTAAGGAATTTTATAAGCAATATGAACCACCTGGCAATATAAGCAATATCTGGCGTCCTCAAGTTAAATGACCAAACTACGCCTTGAAAACAAATTTTATAGAATTTTATCTGGCTATTTTCTAACAAAGGGTTTTATCCAAGACGTGTCAAAACTTAGCCCGTGAATTTCCTGTAATTGTAGAGAAAACGGCAGAACCGTGAAAAAAGTTGCCCATTTTCAATTTTACTGCCCATTTTTGTTGCAGTAAAATTGCTTATAGTCGCTTAATTACAGTCACTGGACAAAGAAGTTGCAATTTTTAGTTGTAACAATCTATTAATGGCTTCACAGTCGCGGGTTCGAACAAAAGAATAGTTTGCGAGAAAAGTCCACTACCCTGTCCATTTTCAATTCAAGTTCATTTGTAAGAACGGGTAATTGGAGACTTAAAACATTGGATGTAGCCATTTATGCAGAGGAGCTTACCATAACCCGTGCTTACGATTGAACTTAAGACCTCAGATTTGGGCGGATATTTTTTGAAGAAAAAGAAAAATTCTACAAAAAAATTGGGTTAAAAAATTCCTCCCACAAAATTTTTCGAAAGCTGTAGAAACTGGGTTATGGTAGAAAGAGACTATGTAATTACAATAGAAAAATTGGGTTAAAAAATTCCTCCCACAAAATTTTTCGAAAGCTGTAGAAACTGGGTTATGGTAGAAAGAGACTATGTAATTACAAGAGAGTGAAGCGGATCCTCACAAGAAAATAGGGGAATGGGCGGTCTTTCTATTAGAACCACTTTTTCCAATTTTGAGAAAAACGAGAATATTTTCCAAATCGTCACAAAAAAATTTGAAAAAGTAAATCCCATACATTTTCAAAAGACGTGTTTTCATCATACAAGAACTGTTCGAATCCTAAATTAAAGAAACTAAAGCTTTCAAAAGATGATTGAAAAGCGTACCAGATAGAAAAAATTGCATTTAAAAAAACGGAAAATCAGACGACAGAAATTCAGTTGAAAACCCTAAATCCGAAAACAAATCAATATTTTTTCAATACATATAATTGAAAAAATAAGTACTTCCTCAAATGAACTAAGCAGTAGTTTTATTTGAATTTGAAAAATTAAAGCAGATATGCATAAAAGTTGTTTACAGAAACAAAAGTCTAGTTCCCGATTACAAGTGAAATCAGACTTCCGAAAAAAATCGAGGAACTTTAAAAGAAGCGAAAAAACAAATTCGTAGTATAAAATAACAATTTGATTTGTGCAGATATAGAAGTAGTAAAACTGGCTCAATCAGACTTTTACGGAATCATTGAAAAGTAAAGACGAAGTTCAATCAAAATGGCTTCATGAATTTTAGGAATGGAAAAGAATTCTGGACGCGATGGCCGGCCTTCTACCTTTAGTTTTGGCTAACGTGTTGAAAAGTATGAACGGAGGAATCCTCTACGCTTTCCGAGGTCTTTATCTAGCTGTCATCTACTTCACTGTTCATCTATGCGAGTTCCTGGGATTCCAAATGCTACAAGAGATCTTAATGTCAGACACTCTCGATACCATAATTAAGTTTTCAATATTCAACGGATTCGCAATCACCCTGCTCATTATAGAAGTGTACGTTATGCTCATTGTTATGAACAAGAGAGGCAAAAGATCGGAAGCTCAAGAGAGTTCGGAGATGGCAAGTGAGGAAATGCAAGATGCACAAGAAGGTGACCGGTTCCGTCTAAAAATTACTTTATTCTTTTGAAAGCATTAATTTTTGCCAATAATTTGCCTGTTTTTTGCTTTTACAGAGTTGGGAATGAACTATGGCGTTGGGGTTTCTCCATATTTAAATCAATTTAAAAAAGCTCGTATGGTGTCAAATGCCATTATTATTCTAGCCATATTTGTCGTGATTCCGATTCCAAAAAAAAAAAAAAGTTGTCTCAAATTCGATAAAGCGAAACGTAATTTACAAATTCGATCAAGCAAAACTTAATTCAAAATAATGAAAAACAAACTATTTGAATCAAAATAAAACATTTCTGGTATTTGCATAGATTCATCACGCATTTCACAATATTTTTACGTCGAAAATTGGCAAATAATTGAAAAATTCAAATGATTAATTAAAAAAGAGCCAGGTCGCCGTGCAACTCGGGATACGAGGTCAACGAAGAGTCACGTGTCCACGCCTCCTAGCTCACAGTACCTGCCCGACCAGGAGACTGTAGGAGAAGAGGATGTCCAAGATGAGCAGAGGAGGGAGGAAGGCCGAGGAGAGAGCATGAATGCCGAGGCAGCAGCGCCCAAAGGTGCTATGCAACCACCGCCTCAGGTTAAATCTATGATTGTGGTCTATGGACCAACTTTTTCCCTAAACTTTTGATCGAGAAATTCAAAAGGACCTGATAAAGCTACTAGAAACAAATCCATTTTCGTTTGTGATCACTACCGTTGAAGAAGTCGATTAATCAAGGAACATTGCGAAAAAGTTCAATGACTAGAATTTTCCTGCGCTAGGTTAAAACTTATATGGAATACTTTCCAAGAAGAGTCAAAGTTAAAAGACTGACATTTTCCAGGACCAGGGTAAAAGTCTGGAGCTGTGGAAACCAGAAGAAGACAAAGACGAGGACGAAGGAAACGAGCAAAACGAAGACGATGACGACGACATGGACCTGAAGACTGTGGCCATGTTCGCTTACATTGCAGACTGCGAAGCATACGAAGAGGATGACTTGAGAAGACAGAATGGGGAGCTGAGGAAACAGATCGAAGAAGGAAGGGATGCTTTCAAAGATATAGACAAGGAAAAGGAAGACGAGATATCGCGACTCACTCAAGGCAAACATATCATTAGTTCTCTTTATATTTGACATGCTTACATATAGGTCTTAGAAGGTTTTAAGATGAAGGCCAATTTCTTCGGTACTTAAACGGGCTAGAACTTTTCCGGTCATCATGATTAGCCATTCCAACTAAACAATGGTTCAATAAATTTGGACAATGCAGACAATGTAGTTTTTCCCATATCAGACGACCTCAAACAATTTTAAAAAATTCGTACCTTAAGTCGACAACTGACTCAACAAGCGATAAAAACAGAACAAGGATAGCCGGTTACTGTGTAAGTAGCATAGAATGTTTCGCACATAGTCTTAAGAAAACTACGGTTTAGAAAGTTTTTTTTCCAAATTAGTTTAGTTTTTTGTGCTTGGTGTCGATAAAAAGATCTGACGTAAAAATATAATATAGGCATATTAGACAGTAATAGTAATATAGGCAAATTGGACAAAAATTTTTGTCGAAAAATGACTAGAAAAAAAAACTTTAAAAAAATTTTTCAAAGATTTTTGCAGAAAATGTATGAATTTTTTGAAGTTTTTGGTTCCCAAAATGAAGCTAAAGAACTCCAAAAACTAGTTTTACTTGCTTGCTTAGAATTAAGATTTAAGGTCTTAAATTAGGCATAATTCAGCTGTTGTAAGCCTGCTCGCTTGCTTTATTCGCTCGAATTAAGACGAAAATCAAAAATTTCAAACCTGTTTTTCTCGACACTTAGAAAACAGTTTTGGGAATTTTTTAATGTAGTTCAAATCACGACTGAAAGGGCTTTAAAATGATACATCACTCAACCCAATACCCAATCCGACGATTATTTGTGGTATCTGATTTTGCGAGGAAAACAAAAAAACTAAAACACCTGAATATATAATGAGGTACTATTACAATCATATCTGCCTATAGGTATGAAGAAAATGTTGAAACGAGTGAAGAAGGAATCGCAGTTTGCAAACTACGCATTGGACACTTTGAAAGCGGAGAAAGATGTCATCAATGAGGAGCTGCAGCGGCTATTGGCACTGGAGCCGGAAGAGCTTGCCAAGATAGATACGGCCGATTTGTTCAAAGACCTATCTGGAAAAGTATCCAAGACTTCCAAGACTTAAGCTTCTCTTACCGTTTTGATGGCAGTTGAATTTACGTTTTTTCCTCAGAATTATTTCTATTAAACTCATATTCAACCTTGATAAAAAATAATCATGTTTTTTTGCTGTCCTTTCCCATTATAGCCCACCAAAACAGTGTTTTTGCAATTAGGAAGAGACACAAAATGTGGAACTATAATGGAAAGAACACTTTTTTCAAAGCACCAAAAGAACCACTTTTTTTCAAGAACAGAATTGATACACAACTCGCCCTCCATTTGATTCGTTGTTCCAGACAAAAAATTGATGTCAAAATTATCTGCTGAAATAACTAACATTAAGAAGCAGTTTGACGCAGTCCGCGTTTCCAGAAGTGGCAGCGGCATGCAGTGCTGAAACAAAAGCATCAATAGATTCATTCGACGCTCAAACTACTTTCACTCTTTTAATAAGAAAAAGAAGACCTATGTTTAATCATGAAACAGGTGACAGGACAAAATATCCCATACCAATATATCGCAATGGACACAATAGCCCAAGCCATTTTGGGAGGTGATAGAGGCCAATACAACAAAAATTTTGCCTTTTCCCTCACTCCGCCTCCATATAGAGTACCCAGTACAGTGGGGTTTGCTGGGGTTTAGGGGACAATTTTTACCGATTATCGAGTCATAGCTTTTTACTTTGAGGCACTAGAAGACAAAATTGAGCGCAAATTCAAGTTTTCCCTCTTCAATGTCGCTTTTCAATATCCATTTTAGATAACAATTCCTTTGATTTTCAGTTAAACTTTTACTAAGACCAAGAGCAAATCATCAGAGCTACCCTCTATGAAACTATCAATGTTTGGTTTCACTGACTTACCAATGTAAGACGGGTCTGAAAATTCCTGATTTTTCATCTGCACTAAGTTTTGCATCTAGTGAACACTTTCTTGAATCGGCGGAGTAAAATGATTTAGGTAGTGTGAAATTTTTCTTGAATTCGGCAATTTTTTTCTAGTTTTTCCAGCAGACTAAAAAATTTAGTGCAGATGACGAAATCTGGCATTTTCAGACCAGGATTACATTGGTAAGTCTTCGAAACCAAATTCTGATAGTTTCATTAGCTCTGATGATTTGTCCTCGGTCTATGTCAAAACTTAACAAAAATTCGAAGTAAATGCTGTCCAAAGTGGACATTGCAAACAGGAATTTTAGAGAGTAAAATCCTGAATTTGCGCTTAATTTTGTCTATTAGAGTAGTTCGAAAAACGGTTGATTTTAAAAATGCGCTGAAATTTTCACGCTTTGAACTAACTGAATTTGATTTCAAGTGCTTTTTCAAAAGTAAGCATTGCGTCGATCGGTTTGTTCAATTGTGGCATCTCGGTTTTAATTCCTTTGATTAACATATTGCGATATTTTAATCGTTTGATTCCTCAGATCGGACATTTTAATTTGAGTGGGCTACTTCGTCCTGGGCTATTCTAACTGCTGGATTATTGTTGTAATGGATACCTCCGCGTGGGATAAAAAGGTAAGGGATAATTTGTCATGAAACCTTCAAAAAACCCAATTTTTGTTTTAAGTCCGCCATCGGTAACCATCTTCTAATGGCCACCGTTGGCTCACTGACTGACCCAGAGCAGTTTTGTTTCCTATTTTGACAAGTCATTTCGAGGACTGTCATCTCATTCTCACCTGTAGCCCCGTTCTTATCGCTCTGACTCAGATCCACCCCACAGTCCAGCATCACATCCAGGGTCTCCAGTGCCCCTGCTCCGGCTGCCCACATGAAAGCAGTTCTGCCCTCGATGTCCGCCTGATCCACCAGTTCACTGAATTCCAGAAAAGCACGCATGGTCTCCTGAAAAAAAAACTATTTTTTAAAAATTTTACTTCGTTTAAGTTTTAACAGGTTTTTATTCTGAAACTCATGCTGTTTTTCAAAATCTGGAAAAAATGATTACATCGAAAAATAAATGCCAGGAATTGTTTAAGTTTAGAAAAAAAAATCTGTTTGATTTTTTTTGAAATTGTTTAATTGATTTGCGGTCAAAATCGAATCATTCAATATACTAGCACAGCAATGTTTTTTTTGTTGCTTCATGCACAGAGGCGCTACAAATGACTACGTTAAAATAAAAAATATAAAATTTGCAACTACCGAATTGTTTTTGTGCGCGGCGTAGTGCAGTGGAGTGGCCCCGTTAGAGTCACTGCATGTCCAATCGCAGCCCTTGTTCAGCAGAAGTGTCACTATCTGGGGTGCAGTGGCCTCGTTGTCCATGACCGCCGCCCAGTGCAGCGGAGTGCGGAACATGTTGTCCAGGCAGGAGAGCTTACAGCCTTCAGTGCCGATCTAGAAATGCCAACTTTATTAATTCATGATCATTTCAACAGCTTGCAGTAACAACTTAACACACAGAGGCAATCTGCACTTCGCCAACACAAAGCGAGAACTGAAGGAAAAGTAGCTTTAAAAGAGTCAAGATTACGAGTCATATACGTCCCAGCATCTGCGCCCTGGCCATCAATAAACCGGATACAAAGACATAATGCTATTGCTGCAAAATGGCACCAAATAAATGAGCACATAATAAATGTGTTTGAAAAAAGGGCCGGCGCAATATGGCACTACGCTCACTAGCTCTCTTGTATAAATGACAGCACTCAAACTCCGTATCAAAAAACTGCCCCCCCCCCCAGAACAGATTTTATTCAGTACTGTCAGAAGGGGGCCTTCCTGCTCTTAGCGAAATCTGGGAAAGCCAGAGTTACTGTTTTATGGACGAGACAAAACAATCAATCTCCACAATCTTCGATTGTGGATTACTGAAAATAAACAGCAATGAAGACACGAATTGGACGACCCCTCCTTTTGCAGCTACAAACAACAACAACAACAACAACAACAACACAGCAAGCAAACCGAAATACATGAATGCAATTTGATTCGAGCCGTACGAGTTCACATTTGATAGCAACGCCAAAAGATTTGAAGGTTGGACCAGTTCTCAATCCCACGATTTAAACGTTGGGACAGTTCTCAATCCCAATTACTAAAATACGCAAAGCAACAGTAATAATAATTCAGGTTCATTTTCTTCCCAATATTTTCAGTATGAAGCTTTGAACCGTTGCTGAGACTTCAACTAACCAGGGTCTTGACCAGGTTGTAGCTTCCCTCGGCCACAGCGAGGTGGAGACTGGTCCTGCCATCATGGTCCTGCCAGTTGACCACACTTGGCATGTGTTCCACCAGAGATTGCACAATTGAGCAGCTGTGTTGATGTTTGCTGTTGATGGCCCAGTGCAATGGAGTTTTTCCCTCTCCGTCTGGGATGCCGACATTGGCGTCTCTTTGAAGCAGCATCTGCACCTGGTCATACGATCCGTACATGGCAGCCAGATGCAATGCAGTTCTCTGAAAAAATTATTATATGTTACTCAACTAATACATTAGTTGCTCAACTAATACATGCCCCAGACTTGAAGCAATACCTGAGAAACTTTCATGCAAAGTTGTTCAATATAATTTTTCAAGGATAGTAGCTCATAAAAAAATAAGACCGATTCCAAGAGATTATCAAAACAATAATTAAAGGTCAATTCAGTATGTTGTCACAAACAAGGGCGGATTTGCAAGTGGCTCAAGCTTTTTGGTCAAAATAGGGTCATCATAGTGTTCTGTGAGTGCTAGGAAGATCAATTTGGTCGACCTAAAAAAAATATCAACAAAGTTTTCGAAAAATTTATGAAAATCCGCCCCCCACCCTCTCCTCGAAAAAATCCTTGATCCGCCCCTGGTCACAAAGCTACCTTGTAGTTATCTTGTTCTTCCAAGTCATTTGCATTCAAATTCTTCATCATCAAGGCTGTACTTTTTGAATTTCTGTTCTTCATACACATATGAAACGGCGTCAGACCATCTCTATCTTTGGCCCTGCAATCCGCGCCTCCCTTCTGAATCAACAACTTTAGCATCTTGTGATGCTCCTTGTTAGCTGCCCAATGCAGAGCAGTTCTCCCTAGGTTGTCGGATGCATTTACGTTTGCCTTTGTAGACTTGATGAGGTATTCAGCACAGTCTACTTTGTTTCCCAGTACACAATACATCAGAGGGGTTCGGCCCAGGCTATCCGCAGTGTCAACGTCTAGAAGTTGTTGACCTGAAATTAGTGATCAGCTTATGGCAAGCACGACTAGAGACTAACAAGGATAGGTAGATGCAGTGCAAGCAGCACAATTTTCCGAACAGAGCGATTGAAAAAATCGAAAAAAAAATTAAGATCAAAAAAGAATTTTTTTATATTTTAATAAAAGGGTATTGAATTCATTCCACAACTGCAAAACTTATAGACCATAATTGCTAATTTTAGCTAAAAATTGCATTAGAAATGAATTGCGAGTTTAGGGTAATTTCTTAATTTCAATTTTTTTAAATCGAAACCGACCATTTTTATGAAATTTCAATTTGTAATCCGAACGAAACATGGCTAAAAGCGTTTGAATATGATACCACACTTCATTACATTCAAGTTTTCTTCAAATTAATCAAAATCGAGCGGGAAAAACATAAGCTAATCCACAGCTCTTTTTTTTTGGGTCCCTTTCAGTGCCGTGGTCAGAACAATAAGATAGCCGGTTGCTGTGAAACTTTCAGACCATGCTTATTTTTGCAATGCAGTAAAAAATTTAGAAAAAATAGTCTAGTTTGTCCAACTTATAACTCAAGAGAGGGGATGGATTGGCTGGCAAGCTATAAGAATAACTGGCATTAGCGGTGCCCACTCGACTAGCATAAAAGTTTGAAAACCTGAAAATGTATCGACTAGCATAATTTTGATAGCTTTATATTTCAGAAACACAGGATCTCTTTAACTATTACCATCCGCTTGCTATCTAGTAACGATATACCACTTTTTGAAAGAATTCAACACTTAACATTTGAGATTTGTGCCTAGTAATGAATCTCCGCCTTTCATTCTAAAAGGGTGGGAATAGTTAAAGAAATTCGAAATACAAAACAGCAATCATGATCCTTTCAAATTAGGACTTGCATTTCTGAGAAATAGAATTTTGAAAATTTCTCCAAAACAACCAAAACGCAAATGGAATTCCTCATCACATAAATTATCATCTGTCCCACCCCGCCCATGGGCGGATTTTTTTTGGGGGGGGGGGGGAGGCGGACGCCTCTTCCTCGAGGATTCGGCCCCTCACCACACAAAGGTCCCGCTTTTGTTCTAATTCGCGACCTCCATTTTTGACGACAGACCCAATGCATTTTGTTTCAATGTTTATGCTAGTCGATGCGATTTTCATTTTTATAACTTTTATCGGGTCTTATGCACAAAACGGCCCAAAATCAAAATTTTTATATCTTGAATTAAAACTTATGCAGTCGAATCTGACTGGTTAATATAAGCCATTCAAATTCAAGCAACATTTTCAGGCAATTCAATCAAAACTTCCAGCAAATAAAAAAATATTAGCCGAAATTACCAAAATGTTAAACTTTGTCTTATTTTTTTTTTCAAGTAACTTGGATAATTTTGCCCGGATGAGAAAAATTTTGCAAAATGGCTTCAGCAGAAGAAAATTTTATAATTTTGGTTATTTCGGCCAATAATTTTATTCGCTTGGAACTTGGAAAGATGTAGAAATACAGATTTTGGGCCGTTTAGTGCATAAGACCCGTTTTATCCTAGACGAGCTTTATGCTGTCGATACACCACCGGCATTAGCATACATAACCCAAAAGTCGAGTAAAAATTAGAACTGAGACAAATGAAAAAACTAAAATTATACAAAATTTGATTTAGTAAATTGAAAACCAACAGAAAAAAAACGCAAATTGCGAAAACAGCGGGTTTTCAAAATGCACACATGCTTATGGTTGACAAAGTACAGATTTGAGAAAATGTTAGACAAATTGTTCACCTGGATAAAAGTCTAAGAGTCGATTTGATTATGATTGCTCATCGCAAGCGTAATGATTGACCAAAACTTGTATCAAAAAATCTATCCTATGTACCACCGAATCAGTATTTGCTGCTATTCTAGATTGTTCTGTATTCAATTATTAAACCGTTACATGCGCGAAAAACAATTCTTTCCTCATGGTAATAGGTGCTGATCCACGCATTAATATAGAGGGAATAATAACACTCTTTGTTCTTTCTACAAAAAAACTTTAGACCATTTTCGTATGATCGGTCATTTTTAGACACAAATGATTCAAATCTATTTGATCGAACGATTCAGACTGTAAAACTAACATAACAAAACTTTCTGAACCTACCATTAAAAACATTTTTGGCACTCCTGGTACTATTCCTTGCACTGTTCCCGCTATTTCTATCGACTGATCTCGAACTCAAATTTCCATCTGAGCTATTGACCAATTTAATAACCAGCTGTTTATCTCCATTTATACAGGCCAGGTGCAAAGCATTGGTGCGTGCATTGGGGTTCACATGGGGAATGGTAAGTCGAGACAGGGAAGGTGCCGCGAACGAGGCAGTCGGAGAACCGAGTTGAGCCCTGTCAGCAGACCTGCCGAAGAAGCCCGAAACATTGTGGGAGCGGTGTGCGTGTGAAGTCACACTACTTGAAGATCTACTCGAGTGTGGTTGGTTGTTAGAGAAATGATAATGATGATTAGATGACGAAGAGTGTGTGTGATGATTGGTATGGTGATGACTGTGTCTTCGCGAGGAGCGGGAACTCTTGACATTGAGGTTATCCATTGAAGAGGTGGCCGGTTAGACCCTCGACAAGAGAACGGGGCTTTTTTTCACAGAACTAAAAACATGACAACCCTGAAAGATCAACTCAATTTTTAACTCATCGATACACAGAAGCGAAGCAGTGCTTCGCAAAACTTGCTATTCAAAATTAAAAGCTGAATATCGGAAAAAATCAGGCTCGTATGAAAAAGATAAAATTAATTGAATTATGTTGAAGAAATCGTCAGTGGAAAACACGAAAAAAAAATTGGCAATTCTTTAAAAAAGTAATCACTTGAAACATAAAAAGGACATCAAAAAACTTGAGCAATTAAATTTGGCAACACAACTTTTGCAACACAGATTTTAGAAAAGAAAAATCGCAGCGACACAGATCAAAGTAACTAATCCGAAAATAATAAGGCCGAATGAAGCTGTTTAGCGGAAAAAAAATGCTTACCGTACAAGAAAATTCCACAATGCGACAAGTAAGCCAACAAAACATAAGCTGACAAACGAAAGTCGATTTTTCCTGGAACATTTTTTAAATTTCCTACATCTACTGCAAAAAAAAACAAGTTCCGACCGGGACTCGAGTCCCAGACCTTGGCGCAAGGATAACCGCCTTAACTCTGGGCCAGTTGGGAAGGCTTCTCGGAATTGCCAGGGTTCATTAATAAAGCAACTTCAATTTCAACTTCAGATTTGTAAAAAAAAATTGTTAACGGGAAAAAGTCCACATCCCGAAAACAAGAAACTTGTTCTCGCAAATTTAATGACTATAAGACGGAAAGGATAGGAATAAAGTGAGATTTCGGTCCATAAATCATATGCCAAAAATTCCAAAGAAAATATTGGAACCAAACACACAGTATGTCTGTCAAGAACATTTGGGGCACTTCCTGTCAAGGCACTTTCGATTGCCTGCTATAAACGAACATCAAAATGAACGAAAAAATTAATAATTCAAAAAAATGACGACAATTTTCAAACAATTATCACAAAAAAGAATTTGCAGAAAACTCAAACTCAAAAAATAACAAAATAACCCAATTACATCAACCGTGTCAAATATGTTGGTGATACGCATAGCCACAAAAAATGAATACATAAATTTCGAAACAATTCAGCCAGAAGCAACCCCAATCTTGAATTTTGTGCAGCAAAATACCTTTGTAGACAAACCAAATGAAAACAGAATGAAACAATACGCTGTACTATTCCCTTGATTGGATTTCAAATGAAACTGCTCAAAAGTAATTATGACGCTAAATTTTTGTTGAGCTAACTGTGCACCCTTACAAAACTTTTAAAAAAATCAGAAACCACGCATTCAAAAAAACGGGGAAAATTCAATAAAAACTCGCTTTGAAATTGCGTTTTAACGCGTTTAAAATAAAAAAAATCCTCGAAATCTTCGAAATTTAATTGAAAAAAAAACAATCCATTCTAACAGATTATTTAAAAAATAAAACACCCGGCAATAAGCTGACAAAAACATAAATTAAGACGAAGTCAATTAACCCTACAAAAAAACAATCCACACCTGAACATTTTTTCAGCTGTAGAATGAGTAACTAATTAACTCTAGACGCACTAACTCTAGATCCAAACTACAACTGCTAAAAAGACAACTAGGGTGAATCTGGAGATCTTCAGCAATTGGAGATGCTGTGAACTAAGTTGCTTACGGCAAAAAGTCTAGTACCCGATAGCAACACTCTTGCCTATCGGAAAGGTCAAAATTCTTAAAATCGACTTTCAGAACTTAAACTATCCTGTTTCTTTAGTTCAATTTGCATATTCGTAACTGGAGAGCATAATTTGCCTTCATTTTAGCAATAAAATTTAAAATGAACTTAAAAACAAATAAGTGTCGTCACTTCGTTCATTGGTACTTAGAAAATTAAAACTATACAAAAACAGGGATGTTCACTTTATATATTACAGGAACAAACCAAAGCTGATTTTGAATTGAAACGTAAATTTCTTAAATCACGAGAAAATTTCGCGATGTGGCAACAAAGCAGACAAAAATCATAAGACAAACGGGAGACCGACAATACAATTTTTTTCAATAAAAAGACAATTCAAAAGACAAATCCCTGGCAAAAACTTTGCCGTCCGAGGCATATTCGTTACCGCTAGGTTAAGTGTGCCAAAGAAGACGTCAAATTTGAATCCATAATTTAGTTAGCAATCGAAATTATTCATTTATTGTGTTAATTATTTACTTGCAAAAAGTCCGTTCCGATTCTATAATGCTTTGATAACGCAAGCGAAATCACAATACTTGGCGAAAGTTATTTTTCTAAGTTCCGAAGGCTTCGTTATTTTTTTAAATAGCTCTATCAAAATAACAAGACTGCTCGTATCAGGGCGAAGACCTGAATGCTTCGACTGCCTTTTAAGGTCTATGGAGCAATAATAACATGAAAAAAATTAATGTAATTTAACAAATGTTTTTTCTAAGTTGATATTTTTTGTGAAAATCATCCATCCCCCACACGCCATGCAAAGTACAAACTGATAGATTTCGCTCCTAGAAACATGGCAATTATGGCAAATACGCTTCCTTCACCCAATTTGGAACGATTTCTTAGACGGTTCAAATCTCCGCTTACGCGTTAATAGCGCGAAATATATCGCGCGTTTATTGTCCCAAATGGCAATCTTTAGCCCACATAAATTTACGAAAAATGATCACAGGTAAAATATCTTTTCAAAATTAAGCTCAGGGCAACAATACATTTTTAATGATATTTTTTAAAAATACGTCAAAAATGGCTAGATGAAAAGTCGAAATTTGTCTGAAGAAAAAAAAAACAACCGAGCACAAATATTTCGTTACTTTCGTTACGAAAGTCGGAAGAATAATATTATACCGAATGATCTCATCCTCAGTCAACCTAATGCTATCAGTAATTATAGTATTTGTCTGCTTACTGATGAGTATGAATACGCGGTTGTCTAAATACAACTGGACTCCAGCATACCTTACTCATTTCCATTCAACCTTGTCGTATGACTTAAAACAACTTGATAAGAGCATTCAAACGGAAGTTGTTTGTGACCATTATTGATTAAGATGTTAGCTGAACAAGTGTAATTTCAAGTGCGAAATACAACAAGTGGGTTCCCTGCTTTTATACTCATGCATCCTCTCCTGTAGGCATTTATAGTTTAGATGGGCTATCATTAACTCAGTCGTCAGTGGGGCAATTCAGTGGGAGAGAGGAAACGATTAGCTTGTTCAAAATTTCCTTTGAATTTCGATGTCTTCCTGTTTAATATGAGTTTGTTTGCCATCAATTGGCTCTAGATTGGATAGCAAACAGATTGGATCAGAACAGCAACACTAACACGACACCACTCTAATCACAACAAAGCTCACCCCGGCCCGATTTTAATAAAAGCTTCGATTTTTAAATATCCTGTTTCCATTCCATCGAATGAACACGAGCGCTATTTATTTATGTCAAACTCAGATCAAGTGATTAGTGCTTTGCAAATTCTCATCCAACAAAACCAACAGTCAACTAAATTAGGCATATTCAACACAGTAATCAGAGCGTTCTCACCAGTGCGGCTTTTATTAGGGAGAAATAGCATTAGGAAAAATTGAGAAGCGGTTTTGCCCGAAAAATGAGTCTACTTCCAACTCGCCCTGCCCTTTCAAAAAACCACAGGCAAAAACTACGACAGCGAATCAAAAGTTTCTAAACCGAGTTAGCTTCCTCATCAAAAACGTTGATAACAGGTCAGGGGCGGATTTAGGGGGGGCGGACGCCCTTTGGTACTTTTAAATAAATCCATTTTTGGTCGACCGGCATAAAATTTTTTCTAAAGGCGCCAACATATACTAATTTTGAGGGGGGGGGGGGACAGCGCGCGCCGAAAAAATGCAATTTTTCGGTCAAAATTTTCCAAAAAGTGCCTAAAAACACCTTTTTGGCCTGTTTTTTTTCAAAATTTTGCCTGCGGCGCAGAAAATTTGGCCCAAATAGGGACAAAGCAGCGCTTTGAGAGAGCTCGAAAAATCAATTTGGTCGACCTAAAAAAAAGTTTTTTGAAAATCCGCCCCCCCTCGAGAAAATCCTAGATCCGCCCCTGAAACAGGTAGTGTGCAAGCAGTCACCAGCGGATTTAGGGGCGAGGGGCAGACGCCCCCCTCAGGAATTCGACCCCCTGCCGACCCAAAGGGTCCCCCCTTTGTACTATATTGAGATATCAACCAAAAAACTTCAAAATATTGCTTGGAATGATGTCAATTTTTGCGGAAAACATGTCCAGAAACACATTCGACGACGTTTATTTAAATATTAAAAAATTTGAGAAAAAACTGTTGCCATGAAAAACTTTGAACTATAAAATCTATTCTGGGATTTTTAACGTTTTGTGCAATCCGGAGGAAAACAAACAAAATATCGTTCCCTTGAACGACCCGAAATTAATTGAGTAAGCCAATAAAATATCAACCGAAATCATTCAGGCCGAAAACTTGTTGAAGCGAAAAAAAACAAAGAGATATTATACGAGGTAAAGGTGAGAAGCATTACAAATTGCAGGAGTAAATGATAACATAAAAGGCAAATATTATGAATACTGCATGTAGCAAAATTTCTAAGATGGGGCAACGAAGCCGACAAAACATAAGTAGAGAAAAAATAGGCCGACAATTTTTTTTAAAAGGGAGAATTACCCCGTTTGAAACAAACTACAGGTCTTGGTCAGATTCAAACCCAGTGTTATTGTTATTGCCCTCCCAGGCGTATTCTTTGCCTCTAGACTAAGTTTGCCTGAGACGCTTGGAAGATTGAATTCTTTATCAACCAAGATAACAACTGATTCAAGTGATTCTGTTAAATAAGTTGTTAACCCAAAAAAATATAAATTCCGATTTGATAACGCTTGCTGATCGCAAGCGTAACGACGTCAACTAAAATTCAATAAAAAACTGAATTACGAAATTACCATTTACTCGCTTTAAGTCAATCAGAGTCAAAAGCTATTTTTTTCAAATTTCAAATTGCGCTATTTTAAACCACATTTTGGAAAAAAATCGAAACGCGCACTTCAATATCGGATA